CAGCAGTAGCATCAACAATAGTAGCAGGAGTAACAATAGTATTAGCAGCAGCAGCAGTAGTTCTTTTAACGTATCCTCTTCTACAGATTGAAACACGTGATCACTCTCTAGTTACCTTTTCCAGGCAAGACTCGATTCGTCTGACCGTTGCGCACTTTTTGACGGCCGAGATGACCGCGTTGACCCGAGGGAAGTGGTTAATGAGGTGCCAAGTCAACGATCATATCAGCGGTACGTGTTTCAGGAAGAGGTCACAGTTTGGGTGCCTCCTGGGTTTGTCCCTCCGGGTCAGCAAAGGATGTCGCATGCAATTACAAATCAAATTACAATCCACAAATTCAGACAAAAATTACTATTGAGCACACATGCAGATATATCAGTCGTGTCAGGGAGCCCAGGGAATATGAACTGGTTACATCTCAACGACCTCTGAAGAATCTGTGCTTGCTATGGCCCCAGACCTCGTTACTGAACACGATGTATATATACAGTACATGTGTTAATTTCGAAACATGTTTTAGCGTGTTTAAATTCTGAACATGTTTAGATAATGGTGGTGTTGTGTTTAGGTGGTGTTAAGGCTGTGAGACGATGGCTCATTTCATGTGCTTAGACATAAATGCGTTTACTCATAACACACCAAATGTGCATTCTGTTTAGTATTTAAACACATCCCTAATCATGTTTAGATCTAAACATATCATGTCTGTGTTCACATTCTAAACATGGTTTACAGCGGAGTACTGACCGCGGAGCAGAACAACAAACACTCAACACAGAATCTCACCCGCGTGTCTTTTGATACAGATATATTAAGCCTCGTCATTAAAAAAATGTGGTTTCCATTACCTCGAGACCGTCTCCGTGGTCTAGTGGTAAAGCGTCCGCCCGGAGAGCGGAAGGTCCGGGGTTCGATCCCCGGCCGCGTCATACCAAAAGTCGTTAAAAGATGGTACTTGCCGTTACCCTGTCTGGCCTTCTGTATAAAGGAGCTAAAACAAGGACTGGTCGGCTCGGAGTCAGTATACTGTGTCTGAGTGGGGTATTCATGTCAAAATGGTATCTCAGTGGGCAAGCACTATAAATCGGACTAGTATAAGCAGCCACACTCACACGTGCATGCACGTCGCTATATAAGTGCAATAATCTTGGACGCGCAATAATCTTGGACGCGACGTTACACCCCATTTCACCTCACCTCCACTACCTCGAATTGTTTGGTGTTTAGTTTTATATGGATAACGAATTTTCAGCTGGAATGGAAGCCTTCCTGACAGTCGACCACTGTAACGCTTTCCCACGTGTTGACATCCGTGTCGACAACATACGACGTTACTACATAACTGCTGAGGAAGAGATGTGGGACTACGCCCCGTCCGGCAGGAATAAATATGACGGCGGCGACCTGACAGAGGAGGGGAGGTAACTCTATGTTTTGTATTGATAGATGTGACGTAAAATCACTCGCTTCTAATTCCACAATGCTCCACCACCACAATCACCATCATTACCACCATCACAACCACCATGACAACCACCATGACCACCACCATCACTTCCACCATCACAACCACCATCACAACCACCATCACTACCACCATCACTACCACCATCACCACCACCATCACTACCACCATCACCACCCCCATCACCACCACCATCACCACCACCATCACTACCACCATCACAACCACCATCACAACCACCATCACCATCACCATTACCACCACCATCACCATCACCACCACCATCACCACCACCATCACTACCACCATCACCACCACCATCACCATCACTACCACCATGACAACAACCATCACATCCACCATCACCACCACCATCACTACCACCATCACCATCACTACCACCATGACAACAACCATCACATCCACCATCACCACCATAATCACTACCACCATCACAACCACCATCACCACCACCATCACAACCACCATCACCACCACCATCACCACCACCATCACTTCCACCATCACCACCACCATCACTACCACCATTACCACCACCATCATCACCACCACCACTACCACCATCACAACCACCATCACTACCACCATCACCACCACCATCACTTCCACCATCACCACCACCATCACTACCACTATCACTACCACCATCACCACCACCATCACTTCCACCATCACTACCACCATCACCACCACCATCAACATCACCATCACCATTACCACCACCATCCCCATCACCACCACCATCACCACCACCATCACTACCACCATCACTACCACTATCACTACCACCATTACCACCACCATCATCACCACCACCACTACCACCATCACAACCACCATCACTACCACCATCACCACCACCATCACTTCCACCATCACCACCACCATCACTACCACTATCACTACCACCATCACCACCACCATCACCACCACCATCACCACCACCATCACTTCCACCATCACCACCACCATCACTACCACTATCACTACCACCATCACCACCACCATCACTTCCACCATCACTACCACCATCACCACCACCATCAACATCACCATCACCATTACCACCACCATCCCCATCACCACCACCATCACCACCACCATCACTACCACCATCACCATCACCACTACCACCATCACAACCACCATCACTACCACCATCACCACCACCATCACCATCACTACCACCATCACAACCACCATCACAACCACCATCACCACCACCATCACCACCACCATGACCACCACCATCACTACCACCATCACAACCACCATCACAACCACCATCACTACCACCATCACCATCACCATAACCACCACCATCACAACCACCATCACCACCACCATCACTACCACCATTACCACCACCATCATCACCACCACCACTACCACCATCACAACCACCATCACTACCACCATCACCACCACTATCACAACCACCATCACCACCACCATCACCACCACCATGACCACCACCATCACTACCACCATCACAACCACCATCACAACCACCATCACTACCACCATCACCATCACCATAACCACCACCATCACAACCACCATCACCACCACCATCACTACCACCATTACCACCACCATCATCACCACCACCACTACCACCATCACAACCACCATCACTACCACCATCACCACCACTATCACCACCACCATCACTACCACCATCACCACCACCATCACCACCACCATCACAACCACCATCACCACCACCATCACAACCACCGTCACCACCACCATCACCACCACCATCACCACCACCATCACTACCACTATCACTACCACCATCACCACCACCATCACCACCACCACCATCACCATCACTACCACCATCACCACCACCACCATCACTGCCACCACCACCACCACCATCACCACCACCATGACCACCACCATCACTACCACCGTCACCACCACCATCACTTCCACCATCACCATCACCATCACCACCACCATCACCATCACCACCACCACCACCATCACAACCACCATCACCACCACCATGACCACCACCATCACAACCACCATCACCACCACCATCACCACCACCATCACCACCACCATGACCACCACCATCACCACCACCATCACTACCACCATCACAACCACCATCACAACCACCATCACTACCACCATCACTACCACCATCACCATCACCATCACTTCCACCATCACCACCACCATCACCACCACCATCACTACCACCATCACAACCACCATCACCACCACCATCACTACCACCATCACCATCACCATCACTTCCACCATCACCACCACCATCACCACCACCATCACTACCACCATCACCACCACCATCACCACCCCCATCACCACCACCATTACCACCTACATCACTACCACCATCACAACCACCATCACAACCACCATCACTACCACCATCACTACCACCGTCACCACCACCATCACTTCCACCATCACCATCACCATCACCACCACCATCACCATCACCACCACCACCACCATCACAACCACCATCACCACCACCATGACCACCACCATCACTACCACCATCACAACCACCATCACAACCACCATCACTACCACCATCACTACCACCATCACCATCACCATTACCACCACAACCACCATCACCATCACTACCACCATCACCACCACCATCACCATCACTACCACCATCACAACCACCATCACCACAACCATCACTACCACCATCACAACCACCATCACCACAACCATCACTACCACCATCACTAACACCATCACAACCACCATCACCACCACCATCACAACCACCGTCACCATCACCATCACCACCACCATCACTACCACCATCACCACCACCATCACCATCACTACCACCATCACAACCACAATCACCACCACCATCACTACCACTATCACTACCACCATCACTACCACAACCATCATCACCATCACTACCACCATCACCACCACCATCACCATCACTACCACCATCACCATCACTACCACCATCACAACCACAATCCCCACCACCATCACTACCACTATCACTACCACTATCACTACCACCATCACTACCACCATCACCACCACCATCACTACCACCATCACCACCACCACCTCCATCACTACCACCATCACAACCACAATCACCACCACCATCACTACCACTATCACTATCACCATCACTACCACCACCATCAGCACCATCACTACCACCATCACAACCACAATCACCACCACCATCACTACCACCATCACGACCACCATCACAACCACTATCACTACCACCGTCACCATTACCACCACCATCACCATCACCACCACCATCACAACCACCATCACCACCACCATCACCATCACCATCACTACCATCATCACTACCACCATCACCACCACCATCACAACCACCGTCACCACCACCATCACCACCACCATCACCATCACTACCACCATCACAACCACCGTCACCACCACCATCACCACCACCATCACCATCACCACCACTATCACTACCACCATCACTACCACCATCACCACCACCATCACCATCACTACCACCATCACAACCACCATCACTACGACCATAACAACCACCATCACCACCACCATCACAACCACCGTCACCACCACCATCACCACCACCATCACCACCACCATCACTACCACTATCACTAACACCATCACTACCACCATCACCACCACCACCATCACCATCACTACCACCATCACAACCACCATCACCACCACCATCACCATCACCATCACTACCACCATCACAACCACCATCACCACCACCATCACTACCACCGTCACCACCACCACCACCATCACCATAACCACCACCACCATCTCCATCACCATCACCACCACCATCACTACCACCGTCACCACCACCATCACCATCACAATTACCACCACCACCATCACCACCACCATCACAACCACCGTCACCACCACAATCACCACCTCCATCACCACCACCATCACTACCACCATCACCACCACCATCACTTCCACCATCACCACCACCATCACAAGCACCATCACCAGCACCATCACTACCACTATCACTACCACCATCACTACCACCATCACTACCACATCACCGCCACCAGCACTCCCAGCATCACTACCACCACCACCATCACCATCACTACCACCATCACAACCACCTTCACCATCACTACCACCACCACCATAACATCACCTCCATCACTACCACCATAACCATTACCACCACCATCACCATCACCACCACCATCACAACCACCATCACCACCACCATCACCACCACCATCACTACCATCATCACAACCACCATCACCACCACCATCACAACCACCGTCACCACCACCATCACCACCACCATCACCACCACCATCACCACCACCATCACCATCACTACCACCATCACAACCACCATCACCACCACCATCACCACAACCATCACTACCACCATAACTACCACCATCACCACCACCATCACCATCACTACCACCATCACAACCACCATCACCACCACCATCACCACCACCATCACTACCACCATCACAACCACCATCACCACCACCATCACAACCACCGTCACCACCACCATCACCACCAGCATCACCACCATCATCACTACCACTATCACTACCACCATCACTACCACCATCACCACCACCATCACCATCACTACCACCATCACAACCATCATCACCACCACCATCACCACCACCATCACCACCGCCATCACAACCACCATCACCACCACCATCACAACCACCATCACCACCACCATCACCACTACCATCACAACCACCGTCACCACCACCATCACTTCCACCATCACGATCACCACCACCATCACCATCACTACCACCATCACAACCACCATCACCACCACCATGACCACCACCATCACTACCACCATCACAACCACCATCACTACCACCATCACCACCACCATCACCATCACCATTACCACCACCATCACCATCACCACCACCATCACAACCACCATCACTACCAGCATCACCACCACCATCACCATCACTACCACCATCACAACCACCATCATCACCACCATGACCACCACCATCACTACCACCATCACAACCACCATCACTACCACCATCACCACCACCATCACCATCACCATTACCACCACCATCACCATCACCACCACCATCACCACCACCATCACTACCACCATCACCACCACCATCACCATCACTACCACCATCAGAACCACCATCACCACCACCATCACCACCACCATCACTACCACCATCACAACCACCATCACCACCACCATCACCAACACCATCACTACCACCACCACCATCACCATCATTACCACCATCACCACCACCATCACCATCACTACCACCATCACCACCACCATGACCACCACCATCACCACCACAATCACCATCACTGCCACCATCACCACCACCATGACCACCACCATGACCACCACCATCACTACCACCGTCACCACCACGATCACTTCCACAATCACCATCACCATCACCACCACCATCACCATCACCATCACCACCACCACCACCATCACAACCACCATCACCAACACCATGACCACCACCATCACAACCACAACCACCATCACCACCACCATCACCATCACTACCACCATCACCAACACCATGACCACCACCATCACTACCACCGTCACCACCACGATCACTTCCACAATCACCATCACCATCACCACCACCATCACCATCACCGTCACCATCACCATCACCACCACCATCACCACAACCATCACTACCACCATCACCATCACCATCACCATCACCACCACCATCACCATCACCACCACCACCACCATCACAACCACAATCACAACCACCATCACAACCACCATCACCACCACTATCACAACCACCGTCACCATCACCATCACCACCACCATCACCATCAGTACCACCATCACAACCACAATCACCACCACCATCACTACCACCGCCACCACCACCATCACCACCACCACCATCACCATCACTACCACCATCACAACCACCATCACCACCACCATCACCATCACCATCACTACCACCATCACAACCACCATGATCACCACCATCACAACCACAGTCACCACCACCATCACCACCACCATCACCACCACCTTCACTACCACCATCACCACCACCATCACCATCACTGCCACCATCACAACCACCATCACCACAACCATCACCACCACCATCCCCACCACCATCGCCACCACCATCACTACCACCATCACTACCACCATCACCACCACCATCACCACCACCATCACCATCACTACCACCATCACAACCACCATCACAACCACCATCACTACCACCATCACTACCACCATCACAACCACCATCACCACCACCATCACCACCACCATCACTTCCGCCATCACCACCACCATCATCACCACCACCATAACCACCACTATCACTACCACCATCACTACCACCATCACCACCACCATCACTACCACCACCACCACCATCATCACCATCACCATCATTACCACCATCACCATCACCATCATTACCACCACCACCACCATCATCACCATCACCATCACTACCATCATCACCACCACCATCACTACCACCACCACCACCATCATCACCATCACCATCACTACCACCATCACCATCACCATCATTACCACCATCACCACCATCATCACCATCACTACCATCATCACCACCACCATCACTACCACCACCACCACCATCATCACCATCACCATCACTACCACCATCATCACCATCACCATCACTACCATCATCATCACCATCACCATCACTACCACCATCATCACCATCACCATCACTACCACCATCATCACCATCATCACCATCACCATCACTACCACCATCATCACCATCACCATCACTACCACCATCATCACCATCACCATCACTACCACCATCATCATCATCACCATCACTACCATCATCACCACCACCATCACTACCACCACCACCACCATCATCACCATCACCATCACTACCACCATCATCACCATCACCATCACTACCATCATCATCACCATCACCATCACTACCACCATCATCACCACCACCATCACTACCACCACCACCACCATCATCACCATCACCATCACTACCACCATCATCACCATCACCATCACTACCACCATCATCACCATCACCATCACTACCACCATCATCACCATCACCATCATTACCACCATCATCACCATCACCATCACTACCATCATCACCACCACCATCACTACCACCACCACCACCATCATCACCATCACCATCACTACCACCATCACCATCACCATCATTACCACCATCACCACCATCATCACCATCACCACCACCATAACCACCACTATCACTACCACCATCACTACCACCATCACCACCACCATCACTACCACCACCACCACCATCATCACCATCACCATCATTACCACCATCACCATCACCATCATTACCACCACCACCACCATCATCACCATCACCATCACTACCATCATCACCACCACCATCACTACCACCACCACCACCATCATCACCATCACCATCATTACCACCATCACCATCACCATCATTACCACCACCACCACCATCATCACCATCACCATCACCACCATCATCACCATCACCATCATTACCACCATCACCATCACCATCATTACCATCACTACCACCATCACCATCATCACCATCACCATCACTACCACCATCACCACCACCATCACTACCACCACCACCACCATCATCACCATCACCATCACTACCACCATCACCATCACCATCATTACCACCATCACCACCATCATCACCATCACTACCACCATCACCACCACCATCACTACCACCATCAGAACCACCATCACCACCGCCATCAGAACCACAGTCACCATCACAACCACCATCACTACCATCATCACCATCACCACCACCATCACTACCATCATCACCACCACCATCACAACCACAGTCACCACCACCATCACTACCATCATCACCATCACCACCACCATCACTACCATCATCACCACCACCATCACAACCACAGTCACCACCACCATCACCACCACCATCACCACCGCCATCACTACCACCATCACCACCACCATCACCATCACTACCACCATCACAACCACCATCACCACCACCATCACCACCACCATCACTACCACCATCACAACCACCATCACCACCACCATCACAACCACCGTCACCACCACCATCACCACCACCATCGCCACCACCATCACTACCACTATCACTACCACCATCACCACCACCATCACCACCACCATCACCATCACCACCACCATCAGAACCACCGTCACCATCACCATCACCACCACCATCACTACCATCATCACCACCACCATCACCATCAGTACCACCATCACAACCACAATCACCACCACCATCACTACCGCCGTCACCACCACCATCACCACCACCACCACCATCACCATCACTACCACCATCACAACCACCATCACCACCACCATCACCATCACCATCACTACCACCATCACAACCACCATGATCACCACCATCACAACCACAGTCACCACCACCATCACCACCACCATCACCACCGCCATCACTACCACCATCACCACCACCATCACCATCACTACCACCATCACAACCACCATCACCACCACCATCACCACCACCATCACTACCACCATCACAACCACCATCACAACCACCATCACCACAACCATCACTACCACCATCACAACCACCATCATCACCACCATCACAACCACCGTCACCACCACCATCACCATTACCACCACCACCATCACCATCACCATTACCACCACCATCACTACCACCATCACCACCACCATCAGAACCACCGTCACCACCACCATCACCACCACCATCACCACCACCATCACTACCACCACCACCATCACCATCACTACCACCACCACCACCATCACTACCACCACCACCATCACCATCACCATCACCATTACCACCACCATCACTACCACCACCACCATCACCATCACCACCTACATCACCACCACCATCACCACCACCATCACTACCACCACCACCATCACCATCACCACCTACATCACCACCACCATCACCACCACCATCACTACCACTTTCATCGACCCTGCTAGCACGCGCATACCTTCCGTCCCCCAATCTCTCTTCTAATTTAAAAATCAGATCTATTATATTAGGGAAATCAAATGTTCTATGTCAGGTAATTCCTTAAGTTGTCACCACCACCACCACCACCAACAACAAGAACAACAAGAACAACAAGAACAACAATAATTTTAATCTGAAAATGTACGGAATCTCGTTCTCAGGTACAAAAGAGGCGGTCGGGTAGCCTAGCGGTTAAAGCGTTCGGTCGTCACGCCGAAGACCCTGGTTCGATACCCGACATGGGTACAATGTGTGAAGCCCATTTCTGGTGTTCCCCGTTGTAAATTGCTGGAATATTGCTAAACTCGGCGTAAAACCATACTCAAACTAACATAGTCGTATCTGTCGTATTGCGAATCATTGACAATGTTATCTTGTGAAGATTGGAGTTAAGTCTTGATTGAAGTTTTGAATTACCTCCTGAATAACATACATTCTTTTTCCATGTTATCTTTTCCTTTGGCAGTGATTCAGAAGTGTTCTTCAAGAAGGACTCCTCGCATATTGGCGGCGTTTACAAGAAAGCGCTGTTCAAGGAGTACACCGACTGCATGTTTAACAAGCAGAAGACACGGGACGTCAACGAGGCGCACCTGGGTTTCTTGGGCCCTGTGATCAGGGCCGAGGTCGGCGACCTGGTCAAGGTCGTTTTCTACAACAAAGCCTCTCGCGCCTACTCCATCCATCCCCACGGCGTGCAACACAGCAAACTGAGTGAAGGCTCCCTCTACAACGACGGCATCTACGGTAACATCAGTCGTAGTCATCATCATACTGGCAGTTACTGGGTTCGCTTCTCGACTCTTTTGATCATTGTCCGTGTTCGAATCCTTAACCCATATTAATATCTACAGCTAAATTGCAAGCTAAAGGCCACTGTGGCTGACATATTTCCCCGAAATTGAGTTATTGAAAGGTTTGATAAAATAGTTCAATAAAAGAACCTTTGAGCGAAGAGTGAGTGAGTGAGTATGGTTTTACGCCGCTTTTAGCAATATTCCAGCAATATCACGGCGGGGGACACCAGAAATGGGCTCCACACATTGTACCCATGTCGGCGTGACGAGCGAACGCTTTAACCACTTGGCTACCCGCCCGCCCCGCGAGAGCGAAGAAGGGATAAACACGTTATGAGGGTGCGGGAAGGGTGGAGGTGGCGTAAGTGTTTGGTTTGAGAATGGGATTATTTTAATAAAATATTTACTCCAGGGTCGGAAAGAGAGACTAAATGGCGCGGTGACACCCATGAAGCTATCAATAAATATTTCGAGGCGTAAAACAACATTCTCTCACTCATCACACTGTTACTCCCAATTTTACTTGTCAACTTGTTCTATTTGACTTAAGTTTCCTTTCAAATACGATTCAAAGTATTATAATAGATTCAAGTTGCATCTAATTCCATATAAATGACAGTTTCGTCATGAAATTACTCGGAAATTTCAGTTGAAAGCTCCACTCCCCGCACTGCAATTCTGAGGATAAAATAAATTAAAGATAAATTATATGACACATACTCCCCTATTCACCGACTTTGAATCTCCGACAGGGAAGTACGATGACTATGTGTTACCCAAGAGAATCCGCACCTATTACTGGACAATACCGGAAGAGATGGGACCCACCCCGGAAGACCCGCCATGTTTGACTCGAATATACACTTCCGGCGTTGACGTAATTAAAGACTCCTACAGCGGCTTGGTCGGCCCAATGCTGATATGCAGAAAAGGGTCTTTGGATGAAAGTGGGAATCAGGTATGCGTCAAGGACATGAACAAATTCATATTCACAATCGTCTCCTATGGACGAGACTCGACATTTCGAACCATGCAAAACTGAAAGACAGAAAGTTGGTTTAACGCGGGTCTGGAAAGTATTGCTGCTGTTTCACTGTGTTTCATGCTTAAAGTGGGAGAAAAGACGAAAGTATCGACATCAGAGCGCAATATGGATTCGAACCCTCTAAGTACATGTACGTATCATGATCTGGCTAAGGGAAGGGTGCTCGTACGCATCCGTCCCTCTTTGGCACCGACAAACAGGAAGACCCATACACAAACACTAAATGTCAGCGTCTTCATCCTTAGGAATTTTGAAGTAATGAATGCAACTCGATTTCAATGCATCATATTCTATTCCAGATCAATGTGACAAAGGATTTCTTTCTGATGTTTTCTGTGAGCGACGAGAACAAGTCGTGGTATTTGGAAGAGAGTATGAACATTAGCGCCGTCAACCCTTCCACGGACAGAGATGGGGATGAGTTCATAGAATCCAACCTGATGCACGGTAAATGGAGATATATATCTCTCGCTCGAATACAAAATGCTTAATCGTTTCATTTGTTGATTTGAAATGAATGCCCTCGGATTGGGAGAATATGCTGAGGACGTAAAAAGAAGTCTTTTCGTTTTCATCACAAACAAATTTAATATGAAGCAAATTTAAATTGTTAAAAAAAGCTTCATGAGAAAGCTTTTGTCTTCAATAGTGCCACGCGTGATTGATAAAATGGAAGCGTTGCGCATTTAATCATAAACATTTTGTTTCGATAATATATTTGCAATTCTTTCATAAAATTAAATAAATACAATATGTATTTTTTCTCAAGGAATAAATGGGCGCTTATACGGCAATCTGGACGGCCTTGACATGTGTTCTGGGGGCATGGTCCGATGGCACGTGTTTAGCGTGGGGACAGAGGTTGACCTTCACACTTTGACCTTCAACGGTGACAATTTCATGAATGGCGACAACCAGAAGTCGGCATCCGATGTACTTCCGGGATCCATGAAGACTCTCAACATGATCCCAAGACACCCAGGTATGTACTTCCGGTAGCATGAAGATTCTCATCATGATCTCCAGATATGCAGGTATGTACTTCGGGGATCCATGAAGACTCTCAACTTGACCTCCAGACACCCAGGTATGTACTTCCGGGATCCATGAAGACTCTCAACATGACCTCCAGACACCAAGGTATGTACTTCCGGGATCCATGAACAATCTCATTTTACCTCCAGACACCCAGGTATGTACTTCTGGTAGGCATGAAGACTCTCAACATGACCTCCAGACACCCATGTATGTACTTCCGGGATCAATGAAGACTCTCAACATGATCCCAACACACCAAGGTACGTACTTCCGGTAGCCATGAAGACTCTCAACATGATCCCAAGACACCCAGGTATGTACTTCCGGGATCCATGAAGACTCTCAACTAGACTTCCAGACACCCAGGTAGTTCTTCCGGTAGCCATGAAGAATCTCATTTTAACCTCCAGACACCCATGTATGTACTTCCGGTAGCCATGAAGACTCTCAAAATGATCTCCAGACACCCAGGTATGTACTTCCGGTAGCCACGAAGACTCTCAAAATGATCTCCAGACACCCAGGTATGTACTTCCGGTAGCCATGAAGACTCTCAACATGATCCCAAGACACCAAGGTATGTACTTCCGGGATCCATGAACAATCTCATTTTACCTCAAGACACCCAGGTATGTACTTCGAGGAACAATGAAGACTCTCAGCATGATCTCGAGACACCAAGGTATGTACTTCCGGTAGCCATGAAGACTCTCAACATGACCTCCAGACACCCATGTATGTACTTCCGGGATCAATGAAGACTCTCAACATGATCCCAACACACCAAGGTATGTACTTCCGGTAGCCATGAAGACTCTCAACATGATCCCAAGACACCCAGGTATGTACTTCCGGGATCCATGAAGACTCTCAACTAGACTTCCAGACACCCAGGTATGTACTTCCGGTAGCCATGAAGAATCTCATTATAACCTCCAGACACCCATGTATGTACTTCCGGTAGCCATGAAGACTCTCAAAATGATCTCCAGACACCCAGGTATGTACTTCCGGTAGCCATGAAGAATCTCAACATGATCCCAAGACACCAAGGTATGTACTTCCGGGATCCATGAACAATCTCATTTTACCTCCAGACACCCAGGTATGTACTTCGAGGAACAATGAAGACTCTCAGCATGATTCCAAGACACCCAGGTATGTACTTCCGGGATCCATGAAGACTCTTAACATGATCCCAAGACACCCAGGTATGTACTTCCGGGATCCAAGAAGACTCTCAACATGACCTCCATACACCAAGGTATGTACTTCCGGGATCCAAGAAGATTGTCAGCATGATCTCCAAGCACCCAGGTATGTACTTCCGGGATCCAAGAAGATTGTCAGCATGATCTCCAAGCACCCAGGTATGTACTTCCGGTAGCCATGAGACTCTCATTATGACCTCCAGACATCCAGGTACGTACTTCCGGGATCCATGACTACTTTCAACATACTGCCTAGGCTGTCAGATACCTAACATCTTTGCCAAACATTTAGTATTATTTGAGGGACTTAATAAGTTTTCGGTCACAGATTTAAAACAAACAAAGTTTCTGTGATAGGAGGTGGCGAACACTCATTATTTTTCATACAACAAATTCTTTCATGAGATTTTGTCATGCAAACAATGTGTAACCTGAGTAAAAGTATATCTTGAAAAAAATTAGGATAAACTATCCTAGTATCCCAGAACACACAGAATAATAAAAGAGAATACTGATCTTAAAGTTAAAATGCTTTGGGAGAAATACGGGTACAAGCTCAATGATTGATAATCTATTGCGCTCTTTATTCAGGTTCGTGGGGCCTGGTTTGTCGGACGAACGACCACTACACCGCGGGCACCAAGGCTATTTACAACGTCATGCGCTGTGGAGATGCTGCTGATCCACATACGTCACTTCCGCTGGCTGGAAAAGTAGTCCGGAAGTTCATACAAGTAATGGAGATACCATGGGATTACATTCCCGAAGGAAAGGACATGATTCAGAACGAACCGTTTACAAAGGAAGGAAGGTAAATAAAGTTAGAGATAGTCAGATATTAAATTCATTTTGAACTTCAATCCTGATGAAAACGTCCAGGACACGTGACGTGTCTGCAATTGTTCCAAATCGAGGCTTCTGTGAAGCCACGCTCATTTGATCAATGACGCTGTTCTATTTAACATGACGTCATTGAACTATTAAACATGTCATTACTTCACTAACAGATCTAAGTGGTTCGCTGCTAAGTTTAGGATAGAGGGAAGTTTGCTCACTATGTCTATAATAAACATGTTTATCATAAAAAGGGTAGATTTCTCGGTAGGATAAAAAAAGATATAACTTGGGGTCATATGAGGATAGAGATGCAAATATCAAAGATCAAGAAGGGACTACTTTCAAAGTTTATAGACAAACATGGCATCAGCTTGTCATTCGGCTATCGAGTCAGAAATAACCTTTTGGGAATTTGGTGAAACTACTGGGATAATTGCTATCATTTAATTTATTAAAATAATTGTCTGATATACTGAAAATCAGTGTCTAACTGTGACGTAGGTGAGGCATTTTATAAGTTTGGGCAACTCTGGACATATAAATTGCGAAACAATTTTGCGAGAACACAAGACACGCGGAATCAGTTTCCATATCTGTGCTTGTAGACCTCTGCGACTTGGAACCTTTTCAACAAATTAAAACATTTGGGCCGAAATTTGTCCGAATGGTTACCTTGTTTCGTTTTGTCACTGTGTGTACATCTGGCTGCACTTCGGAACATTACAACAGAAAAGGTGTTTATTCCTAATACAGGATATTTACCATCCCCAAACACACTCGCGTGATAACCTCTATTTGTTTCTTCAAGGCCTGACCAATAAGTGAAAATGTCGTCTATTCAGGTGAAAATATATAATCACGTTATTTGACAAGGAACGACAAGTTTTCTTTTTTAAGCATTTTCTTACGTACACTGGTCTCCTGTCTCTCACTCAGAAAAAAATAGTGTTATTGAAGCAGACTGACAGAAGATCCGGCATTAACTTGTATTACAAATGCTATCAATCGCTAGTTTCTCTGCTGATTTTTATCGTTAGACAATGTTCACTACTTTTCACTGTTTTGACCTCCCAATCCCCAATTAAGTCACACAGCTGTTTGACAATCATTGTGAAGGTGATATAGTTATGCATTCTTCATCCGAATATCATTTGTTTAGAAGCATAACTAACGAGAAACCGGAAGTATTCAGAAAATTCTTCTGTTCAGATTAAAACCTCCACTATACATTCGATGTGATGTTAGAGCAGTCAGCCACTTTCGAGTAAAGGGGATACAATTGAAATTGTGTGAAACTGTAAAAGCCATATTTGACCCCACCCCACCCCACCAACCCCCCCCCCCCCCCCCACCCCCCCCCCCACCCACCCCCCAAAAAAAAAAAAACTAAACTAAAATAAATACATAAATAAAATAAAATAAATAAAATAAATAAAAATAAATAAATAACAACTTCCGTCTCTTGGCCATTTTCTTGGAGGTAGATAACATTCTATTATAGACCAAATGCTGTCATTTGACATTTGAGTGAGCGAGTATGGTTTTACGCCGCTCTTAGCAATATTCCTCATTTGACCTTTGAACGCATATTTTGCAGCCATGGTGCAACGTTCGTAAGCGAGAGCGACACAACAATAGGTGGCACATACATCAAGGCCCAGTATCAGGAGTACACGGATGACACTTTCAGCATCCCTGTGAGGCGAGCAGTTGATGAGGAATACCTTGGTCTTCTTGGTCCAATCATACGCCTGGAGGTAGGAGACGTACTGGAGATAGTGTTCAAAAACGGCGCCACTAAACAAAACTACACCATCAGAGCGCACGGACTTCACTACAACAGCAACGATGGCAGCTTCAGCGCCTCGGATCAGCCAAATGTTCCACCGATGGGCGTGAGAACGTTTACTTGGAATGTCACGGAATCAGACGGACCTGGGCCGAGTGATCCCGAATGTGTGGCACGTATATACTACTCTGATGTGAATCCTGTGATGGATGTGAACTCCGGTCTTGTTGGGCCTCTCGTTGTGTGCAGGAAAGGAGCTTTAAAACTAGAAAGAGGCAAACGAATCCGGAGGAATGTTGATGCTGACTTTGCCCTGTATTTCTCCGTGATTGATGAAAATCAGAGTTGGTATTTGGATCAGAACATTTTGAATTTCGCGGGGAACGCCTCGGCGGTGAACAAAGACGACGAGGGGTTTATTGAAAGCAACCTCATGCATGGTAAGCGTGGACTGAACATTACTTGTAACTGGCGAGTAATTTAGGCGGATGTTGGCTAAACTTTGCTTCCTTGGTTTTTGATGAGTGGGTTTATTAACACCGCTTTGAACACTGTCAGTATTTCAGTTTTATCAAGGCGTGTCAACTTCATGTGGGAGGAAAGCCCTCAGTATGCAGATCACAGACATTGACAACTTTAGTGAAATCATGGGGAGGGGAATGTTGCTCACAAACCTTGAAACAATAGTTGGGAGAACCGGGATTCAAACCACGGTCATAGTTCTCTTTCACATCTAGGGGACACAACTCTGCATAGCGTCTAGGTCACCCATGCTCCCGGTTTTAACGAGTTTTAAACCATTTTGATGACGTCACGCTATTGTTCGTGCAGTTGAGTCTGCCACTGCCACAGGCTAATTTGCATATCACGTGACCGGACTTTTCAGAAATCAGTATAGAACGGACTAATGCAAGTATTTGGGGGCGCTTTACATATTGTTTTGCATAACTATATAGATATGCTACTACAACTGCGACAGTGAGTTGCATGACAATATATATTTATGCATCAAAGTGACCGTGTCGCTAGCTCTCCGTTGGGCTTCTATGACAGCACGTGGAGCCGTACAACCAATGTAAACATAGGATAACTACGCAAAAACAAGTAGATTTTTACGTATTTGCATACTTTCTCAATGAAAGTTAACCATTCTTTGACATTTGTTTATGAAAATGTGTAGACTTGTCAAACATGAAACGGACGAAAAGCATAATGCAATATCTTGAATGGACTGTGAAAGATGTGACGATTCGTCACATGGCGCTGGCCTGTGGCAGAGGTACTATGCTAGCTGGCTGCCGGCCGCATGGAACTCTGGGTAGGAGAGTGTCTTTCGGGTCTCTTTGATTCTACTTCCGGATTCAGTCTTGATTTCTCCATTACGGAATCAGTTGTGTACATGTACTGAGAAAACGTCGGGTTATCTAGTTGTGGGATAATTTTGAACAAGCTTCTAATAAAAATCATTTATGAATCGATAAGGGATACATGTGTTGAAAACTAACTTTTCACGTCAACGTTTCAGCAATCAACGGCTACCTGTACGGCAACCACCGACCTCCACACATGACGGAGGGTCAGACGGTGGACTGGTACCTCCTGACTCTCGGCACAGAGGTGGACATGCATTCAGTGCATTTCCACGGCAACGACATCACACATTTTGAAGACAAGCCTCATACAAATGACGTCATCCAGCTGTTCCCCAGCGTGTTCGCTTCGGTTCGCATGCACGCGGTTAATGTCGGGAAGTGGCTGTACCACTGCCATGTTCATGATCACATCCACGCCGGAATGATGGGCATGTATGAAATAGGTGCTAGTTTGGGTGCTATTGGAAGTTCAAAATAACAAGCATATACTGGATGGTATGGGAACATATGGAATGGCGGGGCGAGGGCGAGGGCGAGGGCGAGGATGCAGTGGGAGTTTCGAATAAGCCCCTAGCAACCTATGCTGGAGTTGTTAGATCATGTTGTCAGCTGCAAACTCGGTGAATTGGATATTTGCATGTCACCGTGCCCCGATGGCGTGGATTGATGCTCATACTATCACATCACTCTAGCTTGGTAACGGTGTAGGAATCTACATCGAAACGTCGCTGTATACAGAAAATCAGAAGTTGTTATCCATAAAGTTCGTCACTGGATTGTCTGGTCCAGAGTCGATTATGTTCAGGGGCCATACAGCTGGAATATTGATTTTGGCGTTAAACAAACATACAAAGCAACATTCGGTGATTTTTGGGAGCCTCTTAAATGCCTTTATTTTTATTGTAATATTTTGTTGAAACCATGCCATTTCAAAATAAACCAGAAACTCTTTTATTTCTCGGTATAGATATCAACTCGCCTACACCAAAGAGATTCTGACCTGTGATACCTTTATTTTGTAAATGTTTTTTCCAATGTTGATACGATGTTAAGGATACTGAGTATGGACAAGTCTGGGAGTTTCTAAGAACTATTCATTGTAAACCATGCTGAATGTGTTCGTCGAATTAGGATGTTCCATTATGGATATTTTATTTTTTTAATCCGTACACATGTACTTGTCTGTATCTGTTACCTTGTTATGCAAAAATGGTTCTATACATAGTTTTATCTTTAAATAAAATAATTGTTCAAAATGAGTGTTATGTTTCTCTATTCATATTGTACACGTTGAACGCTTCTTTGTCAGTTAACACATTGAATCGAATACTGATTAATCAAATAAAAGCTCTAAAACCTTTTTCATATTCACGGGAACATATGGTAAAAATAGGGAATTGCATCGGACATTTTTGTTACTGAATTGCCAAATTTGGAAATGTCCACCACGTGTCTACCAAAAAACTGAAAGCTTTACTTTAGTCTTGAATGTTGGCAGGAGTCGTATGAAGAGCTTTGATATCTTGGTAGATAGACCATGCTCGATTGTACCTCAAAAGTTGTGAAATGTAGACACCAAGGGTTGGAGCTACAGAAATATCTTCCGGAGAGAGCCTTGTCACTCTGAATCTTTATGCATGCATATATCTAAATATGAAACACGTGAGAGGGTCTCACTGGTCTATTGGCTATTTGATGGTTATTGAACGATATCAGATCATCGATATATCTGAAGCTTGTTAAAAGTCATGGCCAAATTACCTTGTTGTGACGTTGCAAATCCGAACAAAAATACCGATTCATACGCATAAATAATGGAGAAACAGATCAGCAAGAAGGGGTGCACAATTGGTGCCCACGAGGATGCCTACTTCTTGCCTAAATGTCTTACCCCCAACGTTTACATAAACGTCACCAATGCATTTCCAGCATTTCACATAATGTTTTCTCAGTAAACTTCAGATGACATTTGCTTTCATTTGTGACAAATGGCCCTGAACCTCTGAAGATAGATATGTAACTGTTTTCCCTAAAGTTTGTCATTCGGGATTGTTTTGTACAAAGTTGAAATATCAAATATTTTGACAGAAATGAAGCCATCATAAGTAAGTAAGGTAATGGCAGCTTTCCGACATTATGCGTATTTCGCACGCGGGCCCGCCATGCCATTTAGTGAGGTGGTCCAAAGAGGTATATCCGAAACGAGGGCAACCAGTATGGGATTTGGGGTTGCTAAATTACTTTCGGTGGAAATATTGAATGTTGAAATATGAAGCCATGATATAATTCCAACAGGATCGACTATAGTTCTTGATATCGCTTTGAAACGTTTGGTCAAACCAGAAAGAGACGACTCCACTAAATCAGACAATGACCTCATCTTCTTGAATTTGAGGGGGTACGGGTGGCCCAGTTGTCTAAGGCGCCGCGATTCGCCGTGCAGAGTTGCGTCCCTTGGGCACGCCAGAAACCTATGATTGTGGGTTCGAATCCCGGTTCGCCCCGATAATGTTTCTAGGTTTGTCAGCACCATACCATGCTCGTGGGTTTTACCGAAGTGGTAAACGTCTGAGACCTGCATCACTTCGGGCTTTCCTCCCACATTAAGCTGACATGCCGCGATATAACTGGAATACTGTTAAAAGCGGCGTTAAACCCAACTCACTCACTCACTCACTCACTTGAATTTGAAATTTGCAAACAAGGGAATTGATGCCTTAAGTTTAAGTAACGTTCTCAGTCAAAAATTAGTTTCCCCAAAATGTCCCACTATATTTCAAACGTTTGTAGTTGTTCTCACTGACAAGGCCTCAAATAACATAACCATTATATGGACGCGTCACTACATTAATTGTTTGATCCAAGTACTTGGTATAAATAACATATCAAATAATTCACCATATAAGGCCAGTATCGTTACTGAGGAAGAAATCTTCCAAACCATGCATCAGCACTATCAACTTTTGACTTGACTCAAAAACTAGAAGACATGTCCATACCTCTTGTGTTTCCAAAGCTCCATTAAAATCCGTACAATGACAGATATACTGCTGGGTCAAGCAAATGTACCGCTAAATCCCTGTCTCAAATATATATCAATTGTAAATGCTTGGTTTGGTTTTGTTTGTTGTTTTAACGCCGCACTCAGCAATATTCCAGGTACATAGGGGGTGGTCTGTACATAATCGAGTCCAGTGATTGATATCATGAGCTTCGATCTACGCAATTGGGATCGATGACATGCATCAACCAAGTCAGCAAGCCTAGCCACCCTAGTCGCCTCTAACATCAAGCATCCTCGCCCTTTTACGGCAAGCATGGGTTGCTGAAAACCTATTCCACTCCGGATCTTTACAGGACCAATTGTCAATGCAAGAGAACAGCCAGCCTAGAAATCCTGCCATATCAGGTTCACAGGCTAATCATAATCCTTAATGCAATAAAGGAAGGACGTTCTTCATAGCCATAGAAAGTATTTGAGACTAGTGGAATTAATACCACGTGGATTCTAAAAAACTCGAAGGATTTGCTTGACTTTTTTCAACCTCAGAAACGAACCAAATTCCATTCTGTCAAAACATTTGATTTTTCAACTTGAACACCACTATCCCACACTACAAACTTAAGGAAAAATCTTCATTCCTTGATACATGGGGCTTTTGCTACAACATTTGGTGAACACAGACACAGTTACGTATCTATTGTCAGAGGTTCGGGAAAATTTGTCAAAAATGAAAGTTTGCTGAGAAAAACAATACGTGAAATGCTGGACTTCCCCATTGATAACATCCAAGTAAAATTAAGGGGTGAGACATTTACGCATGCATATGAATCGGAATTTCTTCTCGGATTGGCAAAGTCAAAACAAGTAAATCTGGCCAAAATATTGCACTTATTTTCAGGTATATCAATGATCTGATAACGTTCAGTAATCATCAAATAGCCAATTCCCTTCCACTGATTTACCCACCTGAACTAGAAATAAAGGAGACCAGTGAGACCACCTCATTTATTTCATATTTAGATCTATGCAAAAAGATTCAGAGTGACAAAACACTCTCCACAAGACTGTATGACAAGAGGGATGACTTCAACTTTCTAATAGTCAACTTTCCCTTCATGTCGAGCAATATTCCAGCAGCTCCAGCCTTGGGTGTTTTCCTTTCACCACTTTTCGGATGCAATCGAGCATGCTCTTTCTACAGGGATTTTAAAGTCATGCGACTCTTGCTCAAGGCCTCAAAATATTTTGTGGTAGACATTTGTAGGAAATTTGACGCATCAGTAACAGAAATGATGCCCGATGCAATTCCCTATTTTGACTTGTAGCCCATAGTCCAGTGTTTCTTCAGGTGAACAACTGACTTGCATTTGCATGTGTTTGTGCCACATGAACAATTGACTTGCATTTGCATGTGTTTGTGCCACATGTGCCATGCCACTAACCCGTGAAGATCCGGGCTAGAATAGGTCTTCAACAACTCATGCTTGCCGTAAAAGGCGACTAACGGATTTGGGGGTTCAGGCTCGCTGACTTGGTTGATGCTTGTCATCGATCCCAATTGCGTGGATCGATGTTCACGCTGTCAATCACTGGATTGTCTTGTCCAGACTCGATTATTTACAGACCGCCGTCATATAGCTGGAATATTGCTGAGTGCGGCGTTAAACAACCAACCAACCAACCAACCAACCATGACACTGGTGGGGCAGGATACGCTCATCTTTTCGCGAACACCTGCTATATATTATCACTATTTCATAGTGATTCCCGTGAAGATTCCGGGGTAGAATAGGTCTTCAGCAACCCATACTTGCCGTAAAAGGCGACTATGCTTGTCGTAAAAGGCGACTAACGGGATCGGGTGGTCAGGCTCGCTGACTTGGTTGATACATGTCATCGATACCAATTGCGTGGATCGATGTTCATGCTGTCAATCACTGGATTGTCTGGTCCAGACTCGATTATTTACAGACCGCCGTCATATAGCTGGAATGTTGCTGAGTGCGGCGTTAAACAACAAACCAACCAACCATAGTGATTCATAAACACATGCTCATGATATTCTGTTTGATCTACTTCATCTGGTTATCGTTCTCTGGGAGAGCTTGGTGATGGAATACGACATTCATCTCAATGTATCCAATCGATATTAGACTCGAGTAAAACAACATTTTATGCAGGGAATACTTTCAGACTAAGCTCTTACTCTTTTTGCTTGTGATGCCACACGTTTCGGCTTTACTCTATGTATGTTTGGATGGAAAATCAAATCCCAAATATCTACAGAATGACCATGCCATTTTAGATGAGCACGTAAGGGGCCTCCATTTCTAAAACTATAACTTTATTTTACTCTCATACCTGTTCTCTTTAGAAGCTTACATGTATCAGACATAGCATCAGCAATCATGAGTGCACATACATTATCTAAAGGCCTAGTAACAAAAACACCTCCCCCCCACCCCTTTTCCCATTTGCTTACACACTACGTCCATGAATATAATAAACATTTGTTGACTAAAGATGCACTCAAGACGGGTACCAATCTTACGGTCAAAACATGCTGAAATACCACTTTTAGTTCCAACACAGGGTGGTAAATTTGAATACATGGATGAAACAACATTGTAAAACTTGCCAGATGTCCCAACTGTATACAGTGATTCCACTGAAGCACCATGCATCAGTGTTAAAAGCTTTGGTCAAAATCTATAAAGAGGCAGTAAAATCTTCCATTTTTCTTACATGAGTATTTTTGAATAATAGCTTGAATTGAAAACATGTGATCTTTTCTTGAATAGTTTGCTCTAAAGCCGGCTTGAGTTTGACTTATGATAATTTTGTTACACCATCTTTGAAGCCTCATATTTAAAAAGAGAAAAAATTGCATAAGTGATAACCCCTGTTATTATTTGTATCATGTTTATTGCCAGATTAAAATAAATGACATATAATACTTTTACCCCTGCTACTGGTCACTGACTACCATTCACACTATATTACACATCCAGGTGAGGTGAAATGGGGTTTAACGTCGCGTCCAATATTATTGCACTTATATAGCGACGTGCATGCAAGTGTATGTGTGTGGCTGCTTGTACTAGTTCGGACTGATGCCGATTTATAGTGCTAGCTCACTGAGATACCATGCCGCAGTTTAACATGAATACCCCACTCAGATACAGTATACTGACCCCGAGCCGACCAGTCCTTTTTTTAGCCCCTTAATGCCGAGCGCCAGACAGGGTAACA